TTGGCAACTTTAAGACTTGTGGACTTCAACTCCCAGAGTTCCTCAGCTTGCTGGCTGAGGAACTCTGGGAGTTGAAGTCCACAAGTCTTAAAGTTGCCAAGGTTGGACACCCCTGGTTTAGAGAGAGTATCTCAAGCATCCAATAGATCCCGAGATTTTCCAGCAGCCTCTTTATCGCACTTGAGAGTTGCTCTGCAAATCCTGGAAGATCTAGTATGTGACTTACTATCATAAAGCACAATAGCAGGGTTTACATTTTATCCTAAGTTATGGTTTGCTTTAAGCATTGGTTTTTGAATAGGCTATAGTTTCCTGAATTCATATATGGTACCAAGCCTTATATCAAAGCCAGAATGGCTCAGATCACATGAAATGCAAAATCATGGTTGCATTATGGCCTCGTGGGATGTGTAACTCAGAAGTCATGTTACCTGAACCTGTCATCTCTGGGCTAAGCCATCTCTTAGAGGTAAAATTTACAGATTATAAAAAGGTCCATATTTGTATAGTGCCGTGAATATGCATGACTTTTGATAGCATGGAGTTGACAGTGGGAATTTGTAGTCAGTTCAGTTTATGGTTCTGGTCACAAAAAGCTTCTCAATAAATTTACCGATCAATTAAATTAACAGAAGTTCACAAACTTAAACATCTAATTAACAGAGAATTAAGGTTACACTGACTAAGATAGATGCTTCCTTGCTTTTAGACAAAATTTACTCATGGTGAGTGATAAGGTATTTGTAGCAAAACAACTCCGACTCAAATGAGCTGATAAAATGGATAGTTTTGTACTTTTATAAAACGAAAACAAAAACTTTCTCTAAGTACTTGGAGAGATAGACCTCTCTTCCAGGAAAGCTAGGGGTATCATACAAGATAGTGAATATAAACAATCCTCAGTAGTTTGAAATATTGCACGTTTTGGCTTATTAACAAAAGCTAAGTAATCTCAAACATTGAAGATGAAAGGCATTTTGTGCATTGAGATGCATTTGTTCATATTATTACAAAATCTGATTTTATTAGATTTACATGGAAAAGCACTAATGGTAAAAAAAAAGCAACATTGTTCTTTTATTTGCATTCAGTTTGTGCATTACATATTGACCAATATGAATTAATGACATGTAAGCAAATGAATAAACAAGAAACTCAACGCAAAATCAAAGCATAAATTTGAAGACTAAACTTGGTTCTACAGAAACCAGATTTGTGATTAATCTTAGGAGTGGCATAAACCAAATCATTGGAGATATCATCTCGACGTTTTCTAGGTTTGAAAATGTGAATATATAGAAGCTGAGCAAGTAACTTGGAACTGAAGTAGAAAATATAGGAAGCTGGGTATGTCTAGTTTGATGAAAAGAAGAACTGGGGTTCCATGATAGCAGTGTTCCAATATCTCAGGGGCTGCCACAAAGAAGCAGGGGTCAAGCTATTCTCCAAAACACCTGAGGGCAGGACAAAAAGCAATGGGTGGAAACTAATCAAGGAGAGAAGCAACTTAGAACTAAGGAGAAATTTCCTGATTAATTGTTCTAATTAATCAGTGGAACAACTTGCCTCAAGAAGTTGTGAATGCTCCAACACTGGAAGTTTTAAAGAAGAGATTGGATAACCATTTGTCTGAAGTAGTATAGGGTGTCAGGGTTTCCTGCCTAAGCAGGGGGTTGGACTAGAAGATCTCCATGGTCCCTTCCATCTCTTCTCTTCTCTTCTCTTCTCTTCTCTTCTCTTCTCTTCTCTTC